CAGGAATATAACCTGAAGTGCATTGCCATTCCTGGTCGAGAGACATATTCTTCACAGAGAACTGCTTCTGATTTACAGTTCACGCATCCATTTATCAGTCCTTCAATCATATACCAATTTTAACAGGTATTATACCAATATTATTTACTGTTGTCTAATATACCCATATTAATTAAAGTTAGTTCCAAATCTGACCTTCCATGAAAATCATCCAGAAAGATAAAAATTTCTGGTTCCCATCCCCACCTCTTAAATCAGCTTCTTCAAGGATGGGGCCCAGAGTCAATTTGAAGAACAAAATCTAACACCTTCTTTAATTGGTGATTGTCGATCTCCTTTGAGACATGGACTCTTCAGGGAATTGAACAAAAGCAAATATAATACCTTCCCCCCAAAATGCACATATCCACAAAATTTTGTATATAATTTCACTTGCTCCTGAAGCCCCTTCATTGAGTCTCAATCCTCAAATTATATCTAAGTTTTAAATCATGTTAATACATGCACTTCCTAGCATTTTAACCAACAGCCCAGTGAACTTGGTCGCTGTGATAATTGTAAGATATACCTGGTATCCCAAAGTTCCCTTTCATTGGAGCCCATAGACAAGATTTTTCTCTGATTTCAGGACCAGGCATAGCTGTTCTACCTCATTGGCACTGCTTTAATTTTTATCTCATGAAATTGAAAATCATGTTGCTAATTGTGTGGCTTCCCTTTGCATTGAGTTCATGATTACTCAGGGACAATTCAACCTCCTTCTGGTTAGTTTATGGGACATATTTTACATTTCCTCCATTCTAGGCTCCACCTGACTGACTTACCCTGATTATTGTCTTTTCTTCCTTTTTCTTACCTATTTTTAATATTTTATCTTTTGTGAAACTGCATGGGCTACTTTACTGAATAAATTAAATAAATATTCTTATTAGAGTTCCTCCTGCTTTGCCTATCCAGATTTATAAGATGGAAAGTTGACCCTGGAAGGACATTGATTTCCACCTATCACCACCCGACTTTTCACCTTGCACTCTGTCCTCAGTTGAAGCTATGGGAACAGCTTTTCTCCCTTGGAGAACAATGTTTGGTGGACATAGAGAATTAACTAAAAGTTTATGATTTTTCTCTGTTCTTGGTAGAACCTTTGATCGGTTCACTAAACTGGCTCCTCTTCTGCTTGTATTATTAGCCTGACTCCACGAGAATTCAACTCCTACGGCTCCCGCCGAGGTAATGATGCCATCATGGCACGGGGAACATTTGCCAACATTCGCTTATTAAACAAATTTTTGAACAAACAGGCACCACAGACTATACATCTGCCTTCTGGAGAAACTGTAAGTATTGTGTCTTCTGCCAAGTGTCCATGTATGTAGAGTTCATCACTGATGGAGGTGCCCTTTAAACTGTAAAATTTCTTCTTCCTGCCTAGAGATTCTGCGTCATGGTTTAACTAAATCCACTTTCCTGTGAATTGTGATTAAAAAGGCTCTGGGTGAAATTTCATCAGTTCTGAGTATTCGAGGGGGAAATTCCAGGTTAAGGTAGAGGATATTTATCAAGAAGTGCTATTGTATGAATTTATTAGCATTTAACTTAATTCACCATACCACCAGGAAAAGAAGGAATGTGGAGGCTTATGGAGGTCTGCTTGGATCCTAAAGGGAACCATGTGCTTGGCATATTATAGTTGGAATTGTTTGTTCACAGATAGGAGACACATGAGAGATCAGGAAAGCCTGAACTTTGAGTCAGACAAGCCGGGGTTGAAGTCCCAGTTCTTCATACCAGCTGTGGAGTCTTCAGCAAGTTATTTTTCTCTCTGAGCCTCATTTTTCTTACCTGTGATATAGAAATAATATTTACCTTGTCAGGCTCTGAGGTTTAAAGTTAAGTGGAATGACATATAAAACAGCTAGCTTAGTGTCTGGCACATATAATAGATCCTCGATGTCACTTCCTTTCCCAATGAATGCTGAAAAACTGCTTGAAACGGTTTAGGCTACTTGAGAAATAACCTTCACAACTTATTTTAAAATAATAACTAATATTTATGCAGAACTTACAGTTCTAAGCTGTTTGTATATACTGACTTATTTAAGTCTCATAACAACCCTTTGAGGTAGGTACCATAATTATCCGTGTTTTAAATTGGGAACCTGAGGCATAGAGAGCTCCCTAAGGTCACAAGTAGAAAAGCTGAAATTAAAACCCAAGGAGTCTGGCTTCAAAGTCAATGCTGTTTACCCCCACACAAACTGTCTCATTTGTAACTGATTATATTTTTGTAAAGTGAACCCTTCATAGGTAATCATTAATCACCAGGACCTAGCACAAAGTCAATGTCCGGTAGACATTTGTTCAATGAATAGCAGGGATGAAAAACTATCAAATGAAAAAGATACAAGTAAATATTGGAATGCCCAAGAAACCAAGGGGAAGGACTTGCAGTTGTAGATATTGGGAGGCTCCAGTATACTGTCACAGCAAACCTCACTTATTTACAAGCCCTCACACAGAATTTTAGTCAGATGTTTAGTGCCTCTTCTTAAATAAGGAGACAGAATCAGAGATGACCTAGACCAAGAACAGAGGTAAAAGGGATAAAACTCTAACAAAAAAAATTGTTTCCTTAGAGTGATACAATCTGTTGCTGTAATCAGAGAACAAGAAAGAGCTTTTTAAAGAAAAAAGAAAGTTTTCACAGGAAAAGTTGATTAGTTGAGAAAAATCTCTCAAATTGTAGAACAGAAAGGTAAAGGAAAAATTAGAGAGAAATGTAAGAAAATTAAATAATGAACTGAAGAGGCCCAACATCTAACTGAATAGAGATGCTCAAAAGAGAAGAGAGGAAATTAGCAAGAAAGTAACACAAGGAAAATTTCCCAACTACAAGGTCTCAGATTCCAAATTGAAAAGTCCACTTGAATGCACAGCAGAATGATTAAAGATGACCCACTCCAAGTCACATTATTGTGAAGTTAAGAACTCTCTGCATTCTCTTCTTCTAAAGAAGAGAACATAAAATTTAGTTGTTTATTACCATGCCTCTATATCTTATAGATATTATAACTGCCAGATATTATAGATATTTAAACTGCCAGTTCTTCATTTCTCCATTTTTATCATCTGTCAATTTCCTATTCTGATAAGGATTTGGTTCTATTAACCATCATTCCCAAGAGTCCTCCAATACCTCCTCTCTCTCTCTGACCTCACGATAGAATTATGTCAGATGTTTTGGAAAGTCAATATGTAGTGTCTGCATTATGATTATGTAAATGCTATTTACAGCTGAGTCATGTAATAGACCACGATTTCCTTTTCTTGGCAATTTAAAAACAATTTCCACTGGAACTAATAATTTTCATTGTTTTTTTGTGTATGCTCACCTGTTTCTATGTCCCTATGTAAATGCTCTGCCCAAAGTACAAATCTTCTCTAAAGATATCCAGTTGTATCAGGCAGTCTGTCACTTAAGAATCTTTTTCATAGAGCTATCACTCCTGGAGCCCTCGGTCTTGCTCCAATTTGGACAGAGTGCTCTGTAGACATGGGGCACTCCTGTGATCGAGGAATCTTCCTCCACCAACATCCTGGGAATTCCTGACATTTTCTTTTCCTGAATCTTTTTGCTTTATTCTCTCATTTTGGTGGAGCACATTTGGTGGAACCAAGTAACTTCCTGAGACAGGGACTGAGTGATAATTTAAAAGTTTTTGAATATCTGAATGTATTATTTTAATTTTACTTAACTGGTAGTATGAGGGACATAGAATTTTAGGGTGTAAATCAGTCTAAGTTTCCACATCCTTAATACCCAAAGCTAATAATAGATATCTCTGAAAATACCAGATAGGTTGTTTCTTTCTAGTCTTTGACAGGATCTAGACTATTCGATTGGACAGAGAAGGCTTTTACTTTTTTGTAACAGTTTCTATATTCATGAGCTATGTCTGGCTGAAGACGTACAGATCCTACTCAGATTTAGCTAATGCCATGTAAAATTAACCACAGGCTCCACCAGTCCACCAAAATAGTAATTTGTAAAAGCCTGCTTGAAAGTTCAATTCAACACCTTTCTGAGCTCCTTTCAAATGAAGCACTCTCTAGAGGGATTTTATTTTCTGACTTACGCAGCCAGGGAAAACAACTGTTTCATTACTCCACCATCAGCAGTAATATCAGATGTCTTTGTTAAATCTGAGCTTGGCAGGATGGTTAGACTTCCTGTGAGAAACAAATGAATCTATTTGGTGTGAGATGTTTCTCATGTATACTAAAATATTAGTTAATCCTTTCCTATTCTTTATTGATTTGTGCTTCCATCAGTGTTTCTCTCTCTCCATCTTGACCTCCAAGTAGAAAAGTAACTAATAAAAGTTGGCATTTTATGTAATTTCAAAACACATTACTTTCTTTGTGTTTTGCTATCCTTCACAAGTGACCATCATTGAGTCTATGATGCTGAGTTGAACCCTAGGTTTAGGTGGAGTTCTCTGTTTTTTAAGCTTTAAAATAGTTTAATCAATGGAAGAGGATGGGGCAGCGGGGGTCAAGGTGGCAGGCTACGTAAAAGTGGAGTTTGCCTCATCTCAGGACCACATTAAAATTATAACCAAATTATAAGTCAGTTGACGTGGAGAACCACCCAAAGTCTAGCTGATCATAACACATACATCTGAAGATATTAATAAAAAGCCACACTGAGACTAGAGGGTTGGAGACACAGAGACGTGAAATGGGCTGGTCCTGCACCGGCACGTGTAGATTGAGCACCGCAAGGGACAGTGTGGCTGCAGAAGACCCCCTGAAGGAGAAAGAGGTCCTAGCCCCACAAAGGGGCTCCCCAGCCTAGAGTTTCAGCCCCAAGAAGAAGAGTTCCCACAAAATCTAACTGTAAAAATTAGTGGAGATTATGGCTGTTTGAGTGGGATGAAAGAACCCTGAAAACCCAGACGTCACTGTTAAAGGACCCGTGCACAGATTCACTCACTTGCAGACACTCACCCTGGGTTTCAGTGGAGGGTCAGCAGTTCAGGCGGCACAAGAGACAAACAGAGAAAGACTTCATTGTGCAGTACTAGGATGAGGACTGGAGGGACAGCCACCATTGTTCCTTTCTCACACCCCTTCTGGGGCAATCTACAGATGGACACCATCATGCCTCTGATGAGCCCTTCCCCCACATAGCAATTCTCAAGCTACAGTGGCCCAGGAAAGTGGGTCACACCCCACCCAACACACAAATTGCTGCAGTGAGCCCATTGCCAGACAGCTGGTCCCGCCCTGCCCCTTTCCGGGACTACACATTCCGCACGGCAACAGACTTCAGCTTGTGCAGCACACGTTTTTTGGAGGAGGCATTTGGTTTCAGACCACTGCTGCCAACATGAGCTGCAGTATCTCTTGAGCAAATCACAGGGCTCTCTGGGCCAACACAAATGTCAGCTGCCTTGCTGTGATCTGTGACTTCAGCGGAAACCTGCGGACTCAAAACTAGCAGCAAATGTGATGCTGTATTGCAGCAGTCCCCAACCTTTTTGGCACCAGGGACCAGTGCTCCTATGAAAATCTATTGCCAATGATCTGAGGTAGAGCTGAAGTGGTGATGCTAGTGCTAGGGAGCGGCTGCAAATAAAGATGAAGCTTCGCTTGCTGGCCCACTGCTCATCTCCCGCTGTGTGGCCCGGTTCCTAACAGGCCACTAACTGGTACTGGTCCACAGCCTGGGGATTAGGGACCCCTGCTCTATTGTCCTTATGGCCCTGTGTTTCTCTGAGACCCCGCCCCACCTAACCCACAAATTGCCCGTGGGAAGCCCATTGCCAAACGGCTGCTCCCGCCCTGCCCGCTTCTGGGGCTGCGCATTCTGCACAGGCAACAGACCTCAGCTGGTGTGGCATGCACAACTCAGGGATAACATTTGGTTTCGGACCCCCTCTGCCAGCAAGAACCGCAGCATCTCTTGGGCGGTTCATGGGAGTCTGTAAGCTGACACAGACAGCAGCTGGCCTTGCTGCGATCTGTGACTTTTGCAGGAATTTGCAGACTCAGAACTGGCAGCAAATCTAATGCTATATTGGCCTGATGTCTCGATGTCTCCATGTCTCCTGAGACAAACAGCCCCTGGCGAGGCTGTTCCCAGACAGCCAGCCCCATCCTGTGCTTTCCTTGGGCTGTGAATTCAACAGCAGACAACAGCACTCAGCTCGTGCAGCCCGATCAAGGCCCCTGCGTACTGGGAGAGACTTTCACTGGCGGGCCACAAACCTAACCCTGAGCTACAGTATTTCCTGAACAGATCTCGGTTATCTGCAGGCCCGAAGCGGGCAGC